CTTCTAGAATTCAATTTATATAACTATAAATGTTAAATAAAATACAAATACCGACATAAAGTGTATCTATTTTATTTTATTATTAACATATGAAACACACAAAAATAAAATATAGAAAAACTTTATTGATTTATTTTATAAATTGTAAATATATGCATTTATATATCTGCGTGTCTGTAGAAACATTTTAAATATATTTATCTAAACACACATATATAAGTAAAATGCTTTTGGATGATTGTATTTTGTTGGTTGTGTTTTTTTTTTTTTTAAATGCCAGATACCTTGGGTAGCAGAAATATACATATTAAACATAAACATAGGTCTAAACATATCTAAGCCATATTATTTAAATAAGTTGCTTTCTTGACCCGGATTTTTAAGAAAAGTTAGCAATTATGTTCATGAAGACAAAACACTAGTGTTTTGAAACAGTGTCATAAGATGCATCTGTGTCAATATCTAAAGATCAGTAATATTGTTTTATTTGCTAGACCTCAAATATAAAGTCTTTAATTTTACAGTATTAATAGAATCACATATCAGCACAGCATTAACTGGCACCCACAATGGGCACACTAGTCAGAAATTTCTCATTCAAATTATGCTAATACTTAAGAGAATCTTCACCTATATAGGGAGCCTTGGTTCAAAATGACTGAAGACCTTTGCAAGAACAGACTACATCTGCTCTTCCCTATAGAACTCCATCTGACCATTCTCCAAATGCTGCTCTTGCAAGAAAGAGCTCTTGTGGTCCATTTCTCATCCATACATTAAACATTTGTCTCTGACAGGACCTTTCCAGCCTCCTGACTAATACTTCTCAAACAAAACTGTTCCCATGCTACTATTGCAGTGACAATTCTAACACCACAGAAAACAACTATTCCTCCCAGTCACAAATGGTAAGATGCAGCTCCTTGTAGCACTTCAGAGATTTTGAGAGGAAAGCTCAGCAACATTTGCAGCAGAGTGAAAGACACACATCTGGAAAGCACCTTCCTTCCACACAAATGGTTGTTGACTGGAGAGTGAGCTCACACCTAAACAATGCCATGCAACCTCCCACAGCTCACTCCAGTCCTCAGTGGCACTTTGCTGCATTTCTGTATATTTTATTTTGGGTGAAAAGCCCACAGGAATCTATAGATCTAGCACTCCGTCTGGCCACAGACTTATTTGTACTTCATGAAAAAAAAAAGCTATCAGAAGTTTATAGTCACAGAGAAGTCCTCCATCTTTTTAGTCAATTATTTGCAAAATTTCATTATTTTGGAAAAGAACCAACAGGAGTACCTACAAACATTGTTATTAAAGGATGACAGTCAGTTGAAACTGATTCCTGCACTGGATTTTGCAGTAGTCTTGCTACATGTCTAACTAAACACAGAAGCTGCCTCTGGGGCAGATCTCCTCACTGTTCCAGAAGTGTGAATCCTAAGCACACTAGATTGCACAATGTATCATTGACTTCTGGTTCCCCAGGACAGACTGGTCCTGACAGATCACATTAAGATGTCTGTGGAACAGTAGTATTCTTCAATAATGATCATTACACAGAGCCAGCTCTGCTCTGGCAGCATCCCCAGCAGTAATTCACAGAGCAACTCAAAGTATCATTACAGGAGCAGCTGACATAAAGGTAGTCTAAGCTCCACCACCTGAGCTGGCCTTTCTCTAGCACCTCTACCTGAATAACCTGCTATTTCTTTCTGATGAAGTAAAGACTGGACACCACATCACGCATTAAACCAGAACAAATGAGGAGGCAAATTAGCAGGCTCCTCACTGAATAGCTGGCATGTTACTACATGCAGCTCAACACACACACAGAAGCCCGTCTGTGTGGTATCCCGTGTTGTATAAAACAGGCTGTATGCACTGTGTCTGGTTAGGACAGTGTTAATTTTCTTCAGAGCAGCCTGTATAGCATTGAGTTTTAGATCTATGTAGGCCAAAACAATGCTGATGTACACACTAACATTGTAGCTCTTGCTGAACAGTGTTTGCACAGTGCCAAGACCTTCTGTTTCTTACTCAGGCCCAACAGTGAACACATAGGGGGCTGCACAAGGGGTTGGGAAAGGACACAACTAGTCAGAGGACCCTAACTAACCAAACAGATAGTCCATGCCATATAATGTTACACTCAGCAATAAAAGGGGAAAAAGGGCATTTAGGGAAGTTAGCCGTCTCTTGCTGGGAAACTGGAGGAGTATTGGCCTAGCCATGGCAGGTGGCAAGTGACCGTCTTTGCATCATTTGTCTTGCTTCTCGTTTCTTTCACTTCTCCGTTGCATATTAAACAATTTTATCTCCACTCATAAGTTTTCTTGCTTTTAGTCTTTCTGTCCTCTTCCCTTATCCCACCAGAGGTGTGACAGAAAATGAGTGACTAGCTGCGCAGAGCTTAGCTGCCTACTGGGGTTAACCCACAACACATACCAGTGTCAACTACCTGCAGATTTTTAGGTACTGCTGTCCTGCCACTGAACTTTACTACTGTCATCCTGCAAAAACAGGATTGTTAATAAGCACAAGCTATTTCTGAACATTTTCCCTACTTCTGACCCCATTCTAAACCTCTGCTTCCACTGAGCTGCAGCAGACTGACTACACCTGAAATTTCCCAGTTACTCATTGCCCCCAGTTAAGAAGATACAGAACAATTTTCTTCCCTGTATATCACTGTTCCAGATTTGTCTGAACACTTCTTGATCACCAGAGCCTTAGCAAAGTGGTCTGTTAGTGAATGGAGGAAATGACTTGCAACTGGATGGTAACATTGAAGGTGCACATAGAAATATCTGAGGTAATCCTCATTCTACAAGCAAAAGACAGGTTTTAGCTTTTTCAGGTCATTGATTATACAAAAGCAGCAAAAAGCCTTCTCTCACCATACTGCAGAGAGATTGGATTTTTCAAAAGAAAAAGTTTATCCTCCGAAATACCAGAGATCAAAAACATCTGATGCAGGAAAACTCTACTAAATGAACTACCATAGTTTCTGAATGGATAATCGGGATCTCCTTTAAAGCTGCAGCACATCTTCCTACATAATCTGAATGTGCAGCGCTTCACCATACTGAACTGTTCTTTGCATTCATTCCTG